ATGAACCTGGGTCAGCTGTTTCATATAATTAAGCTTTTAAAGTCAAGTGGATTCACTAGCCTTGTTTATAATTGTCATCACTCTGGTTTTAAGTAGGGTTAATGTTTTTTTTTTTTTTTTTTTTTTTTACAATTTTATTACAAAATAATACGCTTAAGCTCTATATAAAGTCAGGTGGATTCTGATTGCCCAATGTTTAAATGATCATTTATTGATTTCATTTGTTGGAAAAAAAAAGGTTTCCAGTCAAATGATATGATATCATCTGTCATAGTCAGCGTTGGGGGTAATGCATTACAAATAATGCAAGTTACATAGTAATATTACTTTTCTAAGTAACGAGTACATTTCTCTTACATTTCTGTGATGGAAAATTCTCATTATTTCAGAAACATGGAAGACAAGTGAAAGAGGATTATCTGAAAGGACAGGGATTTTACTTAATAAGACAAAACTTTACTATATTTAATTAGACAAAATCAAATGTAGCAAACACATTGCTTTTAACTTTTATTTATCTGTATATACGGCATGTGTCGTTCTAGGGTCAGAATGTACGCTGAAGATAACTTTATCCTACATTATTTTAATGTTTTTTTTTTTTAATAAAAGAAGAATATAGAGTGTGTTGTTAATTGCAGAGCTCTTCTATTTTAAAAAGAGAAGAAAAAACCCTCAAGTTCTGCAAGAGTATTGAAAAAGTAACTAAAAAAGTATCTCAAAAGTAACATAATGCATTACTTATCATAAAAAGTAACGAAGTAATGCAACTAGTTACTTTTTTAGGGAGGAACGCAATATTGTAATGCATCACTTTCTAGAGTAATTTTCCCCAACACTGGTCATTATTGTTGTAGTGTGGACCACTTTTACTGTATGTAGGAATTAAAATATTTATTAAAACTATAATTTTAGTTTAGTTATCATGTTTTGTGTAGGCATGGGACGATAAACGGTTTTAAGGTTTAACGCTGTATGTTAAAGTCAAGGTATGAAAACCGTAAAAATGTTTTGTTGTACCATTTCTAAGGTATATGTAAAAGTGCTGTAAGGAAATCTGTGTTTTTGAAGCTAATGAAGAATTTAGTGGTTTATTTTAATTATATAGCCTGACATGTTTACTGTTCAAAAATATAAAAAATGTTTCCTAAATTTTAAGATATTGTGTTAAATGAGGAAAAAAGTTTTTTTACGAAGACATTTAAAAAGAAATTACTTTGCAGCAGTAAACATTCATTCATTTTCTTGTCGGATTAGTCCCTTTAATAATCCGGGGTCGCCACAGCGGAATGAACCAGAACCTTATCCAGCAAGTTTTTATGCAGCGGATGCCCTTCCAGCTGCAACCCATCTCTCTGGTTAACATCCACACACACACATACTACGGACAATTTAGCCTACCCAATTCATCTGTACCACGTGTCTTTGGACTGTGGGGGAAACCGGAGCACCCGGAGAAAACCCACTCGAACGCAGGGAGAACATGCAAACTCCACACAGAAACGCCAACTGAGCCGAGGCTCGACCCAGCGACCTTCTTGCTGTGAGGCGACAGCACTACATACTGTGCCACTGCTTCGCCCAGCAATAAACACAATACAGATATTTTATTCAAGGTTATCATATCTTCAGAAATTTATTCTGGTACATGCCTAGCTTGGTGTGAAAGCTGCTTAAATATTTACTGTTAAAGACATTTTTAACATTTTTATTCTTCCTTATATATTTTTTTATTTAATCAAATCAAATTGTTTTCGACACATTTTGAAACATAATAATTTTAATAACTAATCTAATGACTTCATTTAGCCATGATGAAGTTATTGTGCAAGATAATAGTATTTAACTTAAAGTGCAGTTTAAAGGCTCAACTAATTAGGTTAACTAAGGTTAAATAGGGAAATCATTAGACAACAAGAGGGCTAATAATACTGGCCTTAGCAGATCTGACATTGTGATATACAGCTGAAGTCAAACACTTTTTGTTTCTTTTTCAAATATTTTCCAAATGATGTTTAACAGAGCAAGGAATTTTTCACAGTATTTCCTATAATATTTTTTTCTTCTAGACAAAGGCTTATTTGTTTTATTTTGGCTAGAATAAAAGCTGTTCTTATTTTTTAAACAGCATTTTAAGGTCAATATTATTAGCCCCCTTAAGCAATATATTTAGTCTACAGAACATACCATCATTATACAATGACTTGCCTGATTACCCTAACCTGCCTAATTAAGCCTTTAAATGTCACTTTAAGCTGAATACTACACTGTAAAACCCAACAATCAACTTTACCAAATGAAATGAGTGTAGTTAACTCAAAATCTACGGAAAGTTAATTCTACTCATTTGAAAAGAGTTTTGAACTCAGTGTTGAAGGTAATGTGATAATTAAATATACTTAGATACTTCAACTTAAATTGATTAAGATCACAGTACTCATATAGATTAGTTTAACTCAAATGGTTTGAGCTGCCTTAACTTATTGGGTGTTCTCAGTACTCAGTTGGTTTAAGTTCTTTTCATTTATTGGGTTTCACTGTGCTCAAATTGCTTCATTTACTCAAATAGATTAAGTTCAGAGTACTCATTAGGATTAGTTTTTGAACTTAAATGGTTTGTTGCAATTAATTTCCTAAAATGGTTTGAGTTACCTTGACTTATTGGGATTTTTACAGTGTAGTATCATGAAAATATATTTAAAAAAAAATACAAAGAGGGCTAATAATTCTGACTTTAACTATATATATATATATATATATATATATATATATATATATATATATATATATATATATATATATATATATATATATATATATATATAGTTAAAATATTATGTGCTGTCCTTATGGCAAAGATAAAAGAAATCAGTTATTAGAAATGAGTTATTATGTTAAGAAATGTGTTGGAATATTTCTGTTAAACAGGAATTGGCAAAAAAATATACAGTGTAAACCCTAATGTTGTCTTTAGTTGACTGAACATAACTTAAAATTTAGCATTTTGGTCCTATCACTCAAAAATATGAGTTAATTTAACTTATGTACCATGAAACTTCATAAACGTAAGATGTGTGGTGAGCTAAAAATCATAAATAATCCTTAGGTGATTTTCACAATAGGTCATTTTCACAAATGTGGACTGTAAAATTCTAAGATGTGCAATCTTTTAAGTGCAAGGGCTTTTTTAAATCAGAAAACAAATGGCTTCAGGTATAATTATTCATTATAATATGAATAAATGGCTAACTATTTTCTGTTTTCACAGTATTTTATTACACACATGGACACACACACACACACACACACACACACACACATATATATATATATATATATATATATATATATATATATATATATATATATATATATATATATATATATATATATATATATATATATATATATATATATAGTTGAAGGCAGAATTATTAGCCCTCTTTGTATTTTTTTTCTTTTTTTAAATATTTCCCAAATTATGTTCAACAGAAAAAGGAAATCTTGTAATAATGTCTGATAATATTTTTTTTCTTCTGGAGGAAGTCTTATTTGTTTTATTACAGCTAGAATAAAAGCAGTTTTAAATGGGATGGGGTAATAATTCTGACTTCAACTGTGTGTGTGTGTGTGTGTGTGTGTGTGTGTGTATATATATATATATATATATATATATATATATATATATATACATACATGTGTTTGTGTGTGTGTGTAATTCTGACAAAACTGGCAAGTTAAATAAACTTAAACATGCAAGTTTTGGGAGACTCCATTACTTAATGAAATTGAGCCAACAAGTTTACTCAATTATTTAAGTTCAGTCAACTTATTAGGGTTTTCAGTGTATAAGGGGGCTAATAATTCAGGAGGGCTAATAACTCTGACTTCAACTGTATATATATATCATAATTTATCTTCAATATATCACATATGACAATTGATTGTCCAACAGAAATCCAGTTATACTTTTACAAATGTGATTTTTATAATAAAACAGTATAAGTGCCGCTCTTATTTTTCCGCCTCACAAACATCACAAACTCCCTCCAAAGATTGTTTGTGTTCCTTTGTACTTTCCCATCCTCAAACTCTAGGGGAGTTCGGAAGAGATTTCAGAAAATATAATGAGACGTTTTGTACATCTGCTGACTCTACAATACCAAAGTTTCAAAGTACATCCTGTACACTCGTTTGTGTGAAACAGACTGCAATGAGCTGCAACGTGTACGAAAAAAAAAGAAGCATCGTGATGCCGTGCTCCACAATACAGCCAAAACGCACAGATGCAAAGAGCCGTAAGGAAAGACTCAATGCGGTCATGAGGAATTGATCAAAGCATCAAAAGAACTTCCCTCCAATTAGATGAATATTTCACACGCCGAGATACCCTTACAGCTATTTCATCACACAATGAACTCCCTCTCTGTGATTTACAGCGCTGTTAAAGCGAGGTGTACAATCCACATAAACGCCATGTGTACGGTTATCATGCGCACATTAATCAGCTAAGTTGATGTTCTGCTCTAAATATTCCATGTATTTGCTCACAGATGTGTGTGTGTGTGTGTGTGTCACATCGGCTTCATCGAAACGCAGACTTGCAAAGTGAATAAAACATTGGCATGTGCGGTTAATTCGCGGAAGCCGGCTCACACAGTTTTGCTCCACTGATCGGAGTGTGTTTAAAGAACAGCGAGCGCCTGGGATGCAGAATGTCACCGGCCCTGCGAGCATCCCTGCGGTACGCAACAGGATCTGTTCTCAGATCAGCCACAGGCCAGAGCTGGAGCGGCGAGATAAATGCGGATGGCGTTATTAGTGTGCAGACTGAAAACAGTGATTAGGCCTTGCTCAGAGTATGCAGGGAATTCAAATGAGTGAAGTGCTTTGATATGTCGCTGGGCAAATTACGGTTTTTAACGCGACGATGCTCTGTTGTGTGTTTGGAAGGGAGGTTTTCGCTGTTTACTGAGCCTCATTGATTGCTTGTTTTGCAGAGACTCTTATGGACAGCAGGTGGGCTACTACAGAGCTGGCGTGGACCACCTATCCTGAAAGCGGGGTGAGTTTTGGGGCATTTTTTTGTTCCTGTCCAAATAAAAAGAGCATTTTAATCAACACAAGCACTAGGGATGCATGATATTGGGAAAAAACTGACGATTTTCTGCTTTTTCTGCAATGTACATTGAGTTGAAGTCAGAACTATTATCCCATTTTTTAAAAATAATTTTTAAAAATATTTCCCAAATGATGTTTAACAGAGCAAGGCATTTTCCCACAGTATTTCCAATAATACTATTTTCTTTTAGAATTAAAGCAGTTTTTAATAAAAAAAAAACATTTAAGGTAAATATCAATAGTCCCCTGAAACCATATAGCAATGAATCGCCTAAAGAACAAACCATTGTTATACAATGACTTGGACAATTACTCTAACTTGCCTAATTAAAGAAGATGGAATAAAATACCAGTGTATATCAGAGAGAGCAGCACTTTTAATAATTTTAAAACTGTTCTTAATTTAATAATTTGGCTAAAACAAAATCAAATATGCAGCCACTGATTTGATTTCATTTTATTGACAAATGATGTATTGTATTTATTGTACTGTAAGTGTATATTGTATTTGTTATAACTGTTAAATTTGTTACTTCCTGCCCAGGGACTACAGATGTAAATTAGCTTTATAGCTAACTCTGGCACAACATGTCATGTTGTACATTGTCCCTGTATAAATAAATAAAGTAAATAAATAAATTAACTTAATTAAGCCTTTAAATGTCACTTTAAGCTGAATACTAGTATCTTAAACAATCTAAATATCTAGTCAAATATTGTGTACTGTCATCATGGCAAAGATAAAAGTTATTAGAAATGAGTTATTGAAACTTATGTTTAGAAATGTGTTGAGAAAATCTTTCCAAGAAACAGATGTTGGGGTGGAAAAAAATTATACAGGAGGGCTAATAATTTTGACTACAAGTGTATATTGCGATCTGAATATAATTCACGAGTAATTCTCTTCAGAAAAAAATCTTGATTTTACATTGATTGGGATGATTTTGTTTGGTTGAGGGCATCTGCATAAAATATACAAAAAATAAGGCACAAATGAAAACAATAAAAGATAAATGAAAAGTGCTTCATGGTTTTTAGTGGGTGTCTGCTGGGTTTTAAAAAGTTTTAAAATGTTATAAATTTCAAAACCTAAATTTTTAGGCCTTAAAATGTCTTAAATTCACTGACATATTGAGCCCTTTCATACACTTGGCGCAATAAGGGGCAGGACGTGATTGCCCCGATGTGTTGCTATTTTCAGGTCAGCGCAATCTTAATTTTCCTGTTTTGCGCCACGTTGTTAAAATAGTAAATCCAATTGCGCCACTTTCTGGACACATTGGTGTTCTGGTCGTGAAAGGAGATGTATTAAGATGTGTTGCTATTTTGAGGAACTAAAATAGAGTGTGCTATAGAGTCCATCGCAGAGCGGGCTAGTTGTGCCCTTTGCTTTTACACATTGCTTAAAACACACCAGGATGTACATCAATATACAAATATTGTTACAAATGAAAAAGAAAAAAATGGGGGGAGGGGGGGGGGGGGGCTTTTTTCAGTTTATTCACGACAACTTGCTTTTGCATATTTATATTTGTTTTTATTACAAACAAGCTTAGATTTGTCCACCTTTCAGGTTTTAGACCATATGTGGCAAAGCATGTGTGTTTAGATATAACTAACCACACTTCGTTATTATTGTTCATTTATTCATTTGATGGAATTTAGAACTGAATTTAAAAAATATTTTTGAAACAAATCTTTGCGCTTAACAAACAAAATTATAATGTAGGCTAATGTCTGTGCGTACAACACGTTTCCTTATCCACGAAAGAGAGAAATTGAAAGTAAAGGCAGATTGGAGGAGGCTCATTCTTTATCCTCTCGCTGCAGATGGTCTGTTTAACTGATTTCTCACTAGTGAAGCGCTGAGTTTTTACATTTACAAAGTCCACCATGTAAATAGCAAAGGCGCCATGCCGCGACTCAACTGACTCTTAAAGGGAATGGGGGATGAGACTCTGATTTGTTTATTCTCAAAACACACCCATAACTCATTAAGAGAATAAGCTCAACCCTGTTAGACCATGCGCCACAGCGGAGAGCATATTTTTTTGTCCATAAAATTGCAAAAGTGGATTTGGATTTGTGGATTTGCGCCTAGATAGTAAAATTAGAGCCCAAGCACATGTGATTGTGTTGACACTGAGACCAGGCACGTGCACACATAGGGCTGAACCTGTGCAGTGCACATGCCCTTTTTAGTCTTGGAGAGAAAGTGCCCTTCCAAAATGATCAAAAGTGCCCCCGCGACGAACCCACATTCCCCCTACCGCCCTTCAGTAGCGCGAGAACACCTCTCTTGAGTACGCGCGCATCCCCCAACACCCCCCCTTGCTTTACAGTACACGCGCGACAACACCGCAGATCACAACACCGCTCTTCAGTACGCGCATGACAAAAACAACAACAACCCCCCCCCCCCCTCCGCTTTACAGTTCGCGCGTGACAACACCACTGATCAGAACGCACACGACAACACCGCTCTTCAACAACATCAACATCCCCCCCCCCCCTGCTCTTCAAAAAATTTATCCTGCACATGCCCTTTGGACAGTCTCTGCACGGGCCTGACTGAGGCACTCATTGACATTAATTGAGATGAATAAAGGATTTTGAGGAAGAGACTGGATTTTGCAGGTAATCCATGGTGTTTAGCTATTTGTTCGTGCTGTCTTTAGAAATGCACTTAGTGTTTTGAAATTTTCAATTTTGATCTAAGAAATGTATCAAAGCGACTGAGAAGAACTGTAACCACTTAACAAACACCAAAAATGTTAAACATCATGTAGCTACACATGTGTATGACCGTCATCTTCACTGTATGCTTATTCATAACAAAATGAAACCTATAACGTAACCTACCTCCATTCATTTTCTTCGGAAAATATGAAGCATACCCTGTCTCTTTTGAAGAACATGAGTTTAATAATCAATAATGGCCAAAGTATAACGTACATAAAGTTTATACAATATAGGAAATAAAGGCAAGCAATCAGTTGTGCAGAATTAATGTACATGGTTAAATGAATATATTAACTTTTCTTTGCGCTCAGCCAAAATATGTTACCTAAGAACAAGTATTCAATTCAAAAGGCCGAAGAGTCGTTAGATAGAGACCAGATTAATTAAATATCACATTTAACAACTATAGTGAGATAACATCCAGCGGTAAATCCTTGATGAACTGTCCGACGTGCACTGCTCTCACCTGGGGAGGTGTGCTCAAAGCACCTGCTGACTGCCTGGAGATCATACGTCCGCATACGCTTCAGTGCATGCCAGAGTGTGTGTGTGTGGTCACAAGGTACGTTTTCAGCAGTATAGTGTGGACGAAGATCTTTTCAGAAACATTAGGTAAAACGCCATTGTGGACGTAAATCGTTTCAGTTCTAAAATACAGTTTTAAAACTAAAACGTATTAGTGTAAACTGGGCTTCATTCATAAATTGTATACGATTTGAGATCCCCCAATGAGAGGTAAATTTAGGGGTGGGGTTTAGGGGCACACCTTCTTTTAAAAACCGTACGTTTACGAGTTTATTTGTATGAATTAGCCACATTTCTGACAATATGTAAAAATAGGTACATTTCCTTCTGCAATCGGGCTGAACTATCCCTTTAATGAGCAAGACAAATAAAAGGAGAAAGACTCTCAAGACTCAGAGCAGCAGTTTATTTTACACATGTGACTGGTGAAGAAATTAACCAGCGACTCTGACCTTAAGCCTCACACACACACCATCCAAATCCACTTGCTCCCGTACTATGATTTGTCTTTGGAATGTGCATGCGAAGTCAGTCAATGGAAATGATGGGTTGCCATGGAAACAATCTTAAGCAGCTCAGCCCTATTCCGCAGGCTGGTGCTCGATGTCTGGCATCTCAAAAGCCATGCATCATCATAAGTAATGTGTTCCTTCACACCTGGAGATAAACACATGCTACCTCTCGCTGCGATGCCTCTTAATTGTGTTGTGAGAAGTTCAGGGAACCCAAATGTCACCTTTGAGAAAGCATTTCTATTTACCCTAACCACCGACATGAATTTAATTGAGCATTTGAGTCGTTCATTATTCCTGCTTCCATTTAGTGCTGCTTCGGGGCTCGACTTAAAGCTGTCATCGGAGTAACAATCAGCGATATTTAGGGTTCGTCTGATTACGAATTTCCAGACTCTATTTGTTGGTCCATACTTACTTTGAAAACGGGACAGAAATGTAATGTAAAAATGAGCAGCAAATGCAAATACTCAATTTGTATCATTACAAAAAAAAAGCTTTCCTAAAACCTTGAACATACGTGTCTGTGTGTGTGTGTATGTGTATACATTTTAATATTTATTTTAAAATCAAGAATATTTAGTTATTACAAAAGCCATGGTTGAATAGATAATTGACATAACAGCTTGAATCTTTCCTTAATATGGCTAATATGATTTTTTTTTTCTGTTTCTAATTCTATTCAAGGTAAAATTTTTACGTAAAAGCAATTATTATTGTAATATTTTCAAAGAAACAGTATAAAATATATTAATAATAATAATAGGAGTAGTAGTACAATGTTTTCTTTCCAACACAGCATTTTATGACCTAAAATATTAATATTAGTTATTTAAATTGGTAATAACTATTTAATTATTAAATTAATAATATTAGTCATTAAAAATCACTATAGTCATGGTATGAAACGCTTCTATTTTTGTATTTATTAATTGATTAAACAGATAATTCATCTAAAACTGAAATTTACCTCATTTACTATCCCTCATGTGGTTTTTAAACCTTTTTGAGTCCCTTTCTTCTGTTGAACACAAAAGAAGATATTTTGAAGAATGCTGATTGCTGGAACTCATTGACTTCCGTAATAGGATAAGAAAAATACTATGGAAGTCAATGAGTTCCAGCTACCAACATTCTTCACAATATCTTCTTTTGTATTAAAGAA